TCCACCTGTCAGAAAAACCAAGATGTTCCATCATACCCTCCAAAAACGCCCACTCAACCCGATCATAAGCCTTACTCATATCGAGCTTCAAGGCGGCATAACCAACTTTCCCATGGTTCTTCCGTTTTAAATAATGTTGTGACTCAAAAGCAATCATGACATTATCAATAATGGATCTACCAGGGATAAAAGCACTCTGTTGTTCACAAATACAAAAGTGAAGGTGAGATATCAATCTATTAGCTAACACTTTTGAGAATATTTTATAAAAAACATTACAAAGTGCAATGGGACGCCAGTCACTAAGCAACTCCGGATGCTCCTTCTTGGGGATCAAAACGATATGTGTATGATTAAGACCACCCGGAAACACACCAGACTCAAAAACCTCCTTACAAAAAGAAACCGCATATGGCCCTACGACATCCCAAAAATGCTGGAAAAAACCTGGGCTCATACCATCCGGACCGGGAGATTTATCAGGATACATAGAAAAGATAGCTTCCTTCACCTCCTTCTGGCATAAGGGTCTAAGCAAGGCATCATTGTGATACTCATCAATTCTACGCTCAACACAGTTAAAATTTGATCTCCAAAACCCTGCACAGAAGAGAATAAATCATTATAATAGTCCCCTATCAGGTTTGCCAAATCCTCTCGGCCACAAATCCAGCTTCCATCCGCCCCTCTTAGCCCCTCCATTTTATTTTTCCGTCTTCGCATTTTCACCACATTATGGAAATATTTAGTATTAGTATCCCCGCCACGATACCAAAACTCCTTAGCTCGCTGCTTCCAGTAATGATTTTCCTTCTCCAATAGTAATAAATATTTGCCTTTGACTCTATCAAATTCAGCCATCCCCCATGCGTCAGATGTACTTCGGAGATAATTTAATCTTTTTCTACAAAAGGTGATTCTTTTTCCGCACATTCCAGCCTTGCCCCTCCCCCAATCTTCCATAGCCTTACTACAAGACACGATGCCCCCCCAACACACCAGTACCCCGTCCAACACTCCACCCCCTTACCACCACCTCCCGACAGTCCTCCTCTCGAAGCTAGACATTCTCGAACTTAAAGCGTCGTCTCCGGTTGACTCCTCGGGTGGGGCTTAGCCGTATCAAAAGTGCTAAGTGGTCACTTGGAGCCCCTTCCAGACTTTCTGCGGCAGCCCCTTCAAACATTTCCAACCATAATTCAGAAGCCAAAATTCTATCGAGCTTTTCTTCAACCCGATTCGGAGTGCCTCGCCATCTTTCTCAGGTATATTGATAACCTTCAAAAGAAAAATTTTGCAACCCACTTGCCCAAACAGCCTCCCTGAACCCCCTTAACATCCAAGGGGGATGCGGGATTCTTCCCCTCTTCTCCGATGCATGCATGATATCATTGAAATCTCCCATCACTAACCACAGAAGAGAGGATTGCACACTCAAGGACTGCAATAGACCCCAGGAATCTCGCCGTCTATGCCTTTCGGGAAAGCCATAGAAACCCGTAAACCTCCATAAAGGACCAACTTCTTCCAGTTTTACCCAAGCATCAATAAAATTAGCAGAAGACCCTTGGACGTTGACTTCAATATCCTGACTCCACAAGAGTGCTAGTCCACCACGGTGCCCCTCACTGTCCACAACATAACAAGAATCCATGCCTAACTTCCTCCTTAGCGCATCCACACGAGTATAAACAGCAAACGTCTCCATCAAAAACACAAGCGACGGCCTCTTAGAGTGGACCATATCCACCAAAACTTGAACTGTTCGAGGGTTGCCAAGCCCCCGACAGTTCCAGCTAATGCAACTCATTGCTCTAGGCGGGCCTGTTGACCAGGACCCGCCTCTAATGCGTTTTTTGACATAATGGAATCATCAAATTCTGACATCTCATTCTCCACCATTTGCTCATCCTCCTGAACCTTTCTCTTCTTCGGTAGACCCCCTCCCAAATCTGCCCCTTCTTCCTGCCATTCAGCCACTTCCATAACCTCCTTTCCCTTAGCCTCCCCATGCACGTCTCCATAATGTGTAGAGCTGCCCTGCTTATCATCCTTAACCAAAGGACCCAACCCTCGCCTGGCAGTAGCTAAAAACCGCCCCTCCCCGTCCACCAGCCAACGGCTTCCCACACTCCCAGAATTCCAGCGACTACCAGCACGCATCCATGCTCCAAAAGCTTTCTCTTGGCCAACAACATACCCCTCTAACCTTTTGGGGCAAAGGCGATCTACATGCCCCATAATGCCACAAATAAAACAAAAATGGGGTAGCCGTTCATATTTAAAGAAAACCACAAAGCTTTCCGACCTGCGCTTTAATGTCATGCACCGTTTGAGCAGAGAAGTGACATCTAGCAGAACCCTAACTCTCATAAATTCTTTCCATCCCTTTTTCTCAAAATTCTTCTGGTCAGCCTTAACAAAAGCTCCAATGTGATTCCCAACAATCTTTGCAATACGTTCAGTGAAAAAGAAGGACGGTAGTTCATAAACCTGCACCCAAAACTCCTCTTGCCTCAACTGGACTGTCTTTGGATTTTCCGACCCCTCTAGTCTACGGAGCACCAATAGATTATTCTCAAATGCCCAGGGACCCTCCTCCAGAATCCTTTCGAAGTCCACTGCATGGAAAAATTGAAACAAGTACCGTCGTTCCCCTAAATCACGAATATGGACTCCCTTGCCCGGTCTCCACGCATCTGCCATGGCATCTCTGAAGGAAGGAAATTGAATCTGTTTGTCCGTAATCAAACATCCAACGGCCATGAATTGTGATTGTGGTAGAGCCTCCTCCACAGCATCGTCCCCTACGTCAACCCCCACTACCTCTTCATCCGCTAGAGATAGTCTAGCGTACATGTCCTCGACCGCATGGATTAGAAACTAGGTTACTTCGTCAAACGGATAATGAGAAGGGAACAATTTACCACGATCAAAAGGCTGCGCACAGAACCCTAGAGTTCGCTAGGGAAGAAAACCTTTCATCGGGTTAAGATATGTATAATATACCTTATATACGTATAAATGTATAAATGCATTTATGTATAGTAAGATGGAATTGCTTAGCATTTAATACATTTATTATTCCCTAAGAATCTTTAACAACCGAACGAGGTATATAATATATTAGAAGTTTAGAACAATTAAACTCCAACAGTCCAACCAGCTATATATAAAAAGTTTATACAACAAATTAAACTATAAATAAAAACGTGTAAATTTGCAACCGACATATTAGATCTTCAAACCTGCCATAAAAATTCCCGAAAATACCAAAAAGGAAGTTATGAATGTTGTTATATTTTTTTTTTCAACGATCGGAGTTCAAGTAAAAAAGTTGCACCACTTTAAAAAACTAAAGTTGCACCACTTTAATTATTTTTTATTTTTATATGCAATATTAGTGTCATATGAAAGAAAATAAAAAGTTATGAATTTTGATATATCTTCGGAACAATCGGAGTACGAATAAAAAACTTACAACACTGTAAAAAACTGAAGTCTTTTAAAGTTCTTAATTATTTTTTATTTATATATATGTATATTGGTGTGATATGAAAGATAATAAAAGATATGAGTTTTGATATACTTTCTGTAACAATCAGAGTATAAATATAAAAGTTGTGCAACTTTAAACAAAATAGGTGTTCTTAATTTGGTGTAACCACATTACTAATGCTCATGTTGGTCAAGTTGTTATAACATTTGCCTAAACCGCCAGTTCAAGCGGCGGTTTTCTTAACTCAAGATTGTCCCAATAGTATTTTCGAAAATACTTTTAACCCAACACTAATTTAGACATTATTTTTTTATTTAACATTATTTTCGGAAAAAATCTGTTATATTATCCAATTTTAAGTTACAGAAAATACAAATAAAAATACCAATGAATATAATGATTTACGTACTATTTTCTAACACCGCTACCAAAGACAATCATTATATAGTATGGATGTTTTTCAATTCATTTAAGTTTTTAAATCTCATATCAAGCTAAATCAGATTTAAATAATAGACCATATTAGAACATACACAAGAGCATATTTAAATGGGCCAAGTGTACATACATCAGTACATCTTCTAGAGTATGTCTTTACGCAAAGTCAACTACATGTAACCATGTCAAGGGTTATGAAGTAAGTTGAAGAATCAAATATGTGATGATGAGAATCGTGTTATCAACACCACTAATAATGTGGTCTATAAAGAAGTTTATAGACATTTTAATACTTTATGATACTTTTTGTATGTCATGTGTTTGAAATTGATTATGCTTCTACTTCTTTTCTAAAAGAAGCCATAAAATCGATTTAGTTTTTCCGAAGTTGGTTTTCCCGAACTTCTAAAAAATTATTTCTAGGAGTAATTTGGACCATTTAGAAGCTAAGTACTTCGACCCCTTCACTCAAACACTCCAATATCCGTTTCTGCACCTTCAGAGAACAAAAACAGTTTTAAGAAGTAGATCCAAACACCCTTTATAAACATTAAAGGTTCTTCTGTTTTATAGTTTAATCATTATAATATTATTAATTCCATTATCAATTCTATGAGGCCTCAAGATGAAGTGTCATCATTTATTAATTCTATTATCACATGAAATTTATTGTTACACCTTATCGTTTATTTTAATTTTTAATTGCAATTTTTAGTACAAAACAAATTTTTATTTTTTTATAGGTGCTATTACATAATCAAAGATAGAATATACTACGTATAACTCTACTGTCACTCTATTGTCTTTCGCGCTTGACAAAAATAAACATTATATCAACATAAAAAAATAGTAGATACAATTTTAAATGAATTTTTATTTTATTCTAGATACACCCCATGCATCGCACGAGTACTGTATCTAATAATTAAATATAATTAAAATCAAAATTATGTATTGATAAACGTGAAACTAGGTGATAATAAGAATTATAGACCCTACCCGTCAAATAGCCGTCAAATTTAATGGAGGAAGTATTAAACGTTTAAAGTTCAACAACAAGGGCCGGGAAGGGAGACAGTTGACTGAGAATGCCCGTTCTTGTTCTGGGCTGTGGGTTGACTTTGACGAAGGGGTCTCGCCTATCTCTCCATTATACTTCGTATATGAGTATATCCCTCTAAAGCATTAATAATGAATGAATTCCGTATGTACGAAGCATTTGGCAGCAGATTTGTTTTGGTCCACATACATTTGTTGTGCGAATCGTTCAAACTAAATATCATACTGTATTACTGTATAGATGTTTCCTCAAGTCAGAGAAAGACAAAGTTGAACCAGTCGTCCACTAATCAAAAGCTCTAATTACTCCGTATCTGATAGATATCTCCCCTGTTTCTGTGTTCTGATGGCAGGCTTCATTACGCACATTCATTCAAGGCAGAGAAAAGAAGAAAGCTTGAGGAGACTTTAGTATGGGAATTTGCTGGAGTTTTGCTTCAAATAATCAGACTCCACCTGCCACTTCTACTACTACTTTGGGACATCTTACTTCTTCTTCGGGTATGTTTGATGTTCCCACTTCCCACCACCAACCCATTATTGCACTATTGTTTTACCTTCAGTTCAAGCTAAGTTTTGGCACCACCATTTAAATAATGAATTGTTGTTTATTAGGATGTTTTTAACAAAATTAACATTTTACAGTGCCTATATGTTTTAGAGTACATATTGTTTTGAGATTTCCAACTTTCTACCCAAGTGTTGGATTACTTATTTATACCAATAAAATATTACATGGACATATAAGATTTTGAATTATTTTTCAAAATCAAACTTCAAATCTCAATAATATTATAATTAGATATAATTGCTTATTTGACACCAATGGTATAGGATAACCCGTATCAGATTTGTTTTGCCCATATTTTGGTTTGAGGAGTGGAGTAAGACGTAAGTGGCGAAGTCATGTTTTGAAAAAAAATTACATTGTGTAAAAATGCATATTTAGAATTATGTGTAATAATACTCCGTATTTTGTACCTAATAGGTTCGTTATTAAAAAAGTGCATATGTAATATTTGTATATCAAAGATACCATTGTGAAAAAATGAATAAAAGAATTTCTATTAAGCAGAAGATTAGGGAGAAGAGAATATATCAAGTATAAATGTGTTCTTAAAGGATAAATAAGTATAAATGTGTTCTTAAGCAAAAGTATATTTATTTGTGTTTATATTAAAAGTAAGAGTCTCTATTTCTAGGCTAAATAAATGATTAACTGAAGACATACCATCATTATCTTTAGAAATCTTAATTATGACTTCTTAATTATTTTGATAATGATAATAATGACTTATTAATCCTGAATAGTTAAGAGATATAGTTAGGAGATGACTAATTCATTATATTTCAACAATATGTTATGGATTATTTGTCAAAGGCTCTAAGGAAAGCATTGAAGTACATGTCAAGTGATAAAAATACAAAATATTAAATGTCATTTTATAATAATCTTTCCTTGTAACGTTGTATCCCAAACTATATATTCTCTTCAACTCTAAATTAGCTTCATGTTTTGCCTTTTATTTCTTGAGTAATGCTTGAGGTACACACTTTGTGTACACTCGTCTGTTTCTTAAGAAAATTTTGTCTGTCATAGACAACTCATATTTCAACTCATATATATGAATTGTCTGTGACAGACAAAATTTTTTTAAGAGACAGACGAGTGTACACAAAGTGTGTACACAAAGTGTGTACCTCAAGCATTAGCTATTCACATTAGCTAAGGAATTAGCTATTCACATTATTTCTTTCACGTTTAAGTGGCTTAACGGACTCTCCATACAAATTCCAAATTAATATGAAGAGAGATGCATGCAGTATATGATAAACGATAATGACATTGTAGCCTGCGTGGTTATGTTTCTTCTGTTGCAATGCAGCAGCTGGAATTTCACACACAACAAGCAACATAACAACGTCGACGTCGTCAGCTTTGAGTGGCAAAAGCGCTGCCTCTGGCGGGACTAGCAGCAGCAAATTCTCAGCAGCCGAGCCTTCCAGCGGTGGCGATGATGACATGCTCGGTGAAGAAGGTCGGATATTATCACACCCCAATTTGAGAATCTTTACTTTTGCTGAGCTCAGGGCTGCCACAAGGAACTTCAGGAGCGACACGGTGCTTGGAGAAGGAGGGTTTGGCAAGGTTTACAAAGGCTGGATCGAAGACAGGGGCGGCACCACCGCCTCAAAGAGTGGCAGTGGAACCGTCATTGCAGTAAAGAAACTCAATTCTGAAAGTTTTCAAGGGTACGAGGAGTGGCAGGTACATATGAATACATGGAAATCGATAGTTACATATTTTATACATATTGAGCCAAATCTGATCACCGACAACATTATCTGCCAAATTAAGCCACCTACATTTCGTGCGAAGAAATCCATCTTAAAAACATATAAATTGTTCGTGAGGACTAAAAACATAAAAACAATTTGATTTAAACATATACGGAGTATCGTTTTTGTCCGTGAGAAGGATTTTCAAGTGTATACATAGACGTGTACAACTTTGTGTACAACAACCACTGTGATATTTACATACTCTTACTCTTGCACTCACTGATTTTCATTTTCTCTTTGAGTTGTTGCCTAAAAATTGCTAGCTAACTTTTACTTCCTCTTTGTTTTCAAGTTACAAACTTTCACATTTGTCAAATACATTACTTTTATCTTTAATACAGAGTATGGTCAGTGTAAGATATGAGAATAGTGCAAAAAGTGAAAAAGTTAGAACTATTCAATTTATAAAGAACGAAAGTAGTAAATTAGTATATAAGATTCAAAGTTTGTTGTGGCCAGCCTCTAATGGTTTAAATGAATGCACATTTATGCAGTCAGAAGTGAACTTTCTGGGATGTCTCTCTCATCCAAATCTCGTCAAGCTCATAGGATACAGTTGGGATGAGAAAGAACTACTCCTTGTATATGAGTTCATGCAGAAGGGAAGCTTAGAGAATCATCTTTTCGGAAGTAAGAATTCAATCACATCTTAACTGCATCAGATAAAGAATGCAGAATGGGTTCATAAAAGTTTGGGTTCATTAGCTCAAACGAGATTTATCTTGAATGCCTTGTGTACTATCATTCTCAACAAAAAAACAAGTGTGTGAAGAGTTCGTTTGTGAAAAAAATCAGAGTTTTTTTCCAAACTAGAGAAAAAATAAAAGTTTCTGGTTCATCATATGATATAATACTCTGTAATATATAACCATTGTCATGAATGTAAGTTAATCTAGGGGCGTGAACCGAGTGATAATTGTCTTGTGTTCTCTTCCAATTACTACATACATATGAACATGCATACCATAATTAATACTTCATATTTAATTGATTTCTTACTATGTTTAGGGGGATCTGCGGTTAACCCACTTCCTTGGGAGGTAAGGCTCAAAATCCTGATTGATGCAGCTCGAGGTCTGGCATTCCTCCATGCATCAGAGAACAAAGTGATTTATAGAGATTTCAAGGCCTCAAACATATTACTTGATGGCGTAAGTTTGTTTATTACACTATGTCCAATCGAGAATATAACTTTGTTAATTGTATCCAACGTTTCTTCACTACTTTAGTAATTTAAATTTCATTAAGTTTTTACTTTTAAACTTTAGCTTTGATCTATACTTTCACCTTTTGATTTTTTATGTGACCTATGCGTTTTTACTTTTTTAAGGAATTAAATTAGTACTTCGTATAACAACAATTTAACTTCTTTATTTTCTTAGAAGTTATGCTCAATACAAATGTATATCACTTGGTGAGAGGAAGTACTGCAGTACTTTCCTAGCTATGATATGTGTAGAGATGTCCTTCCCCTCCTGTGTTGATTTCTCTGTCTTTTTCTTCTTCTCCGATCCAACACAGTCATATAATGCAAAGATATCAGACTTCGGCTTAGCAAAGTTTGGACCTTCAGCCAGCCAATCACATGTCACCACTCGAGTTATGGGAACACCCGGGTATGCTGCCCCTGAGTATGTTGCAACAGGTATATATGTTTCCATGTTAATTAACTGAGCTGATGCGTGGTCGTATACATATTTCTATCGAACACACTTTTTTATAAAAATAGAATTTTCCATAATATTACTCTAAAATCTCATGGACAAACTATGACAACTATATGATCAATATAGTTACTGGATTACTGCAAAAATATCATCACACTGCAACGTGAAATTGAATATGAGATTAGTCACTACAGTTGTTAATTAATGCCATTGGATGGGCGTGCAGGTCATTTGTATGTAAAAAGCGACGTGTATGGTTTTGGTGTGGTTGTGGTGGAGATGCTAACAGGATTAAGGGTGATAGACCCGAACCGACCAAATGGACAACAAACTCTCGTTGAATGGATTAAGCCACATCTTGCAGAGAAAAGGAAGCTGAAGGATAAAATGGATTCACGGTTGGCAGGAAGGTATCCTTCCAGAGCTGCCGTACAGATTGCTCAACTTGCTTTGTCATGTCTAGGATCTGAGCCTAAGATGAGGCCTTCTATGAAAGAAGTAGTGGCAACATTGGAACAAATTGAGTCTGTAGATGAGAGACCAGGACCAACAAGGAAGGCAACTAATAATTCCAGAAACACTAAATCTTATAGACACGGTGGCAGTGACCACCGACCTTTGCGTCACTCTCCTCCCCCTCTTCACCCACCTCGGAAAGATCCAATCCGCAGCCGGACATAATTGAATATTGCTGTTTTGTTCATGCCATTGGTTTTTTCCTTCATTCTAATAATGTATATAGTGGCACTAAAATTTTGTGCCTGGTGTATCATATGTAAGAGAATTTCATGTGGTTCATATATGGAATGTGAATCCAAGAATGTAACCATTACTTCCAACAATCTTTTGTGTAAAAGATTGTGTGAAAGTTTCTTTCTAATAGCATACCCCAATATTCTCTTTTAGCGACACCGCTGTTCTCAACATAGATAAAGATTAAAACTTTGACGATGATAGTTGCTACACTAGAATAGCAAAATGTTGTTTTGCCCCTTTCTTTGTTAAGTTCCCCTTCTTGCCAACATGGAGACATTGCATATATAGACAACATGAACTAAACCTCTTCTATCTATTCCTTGGTAATCTGCGGTAACGTTCAATACACACTAAGGGAGGAAAACAAAATAATGTGCTTCAACATGCCACACCTATAACTATTGATTTGGGACATTGTTTTAAGGATCTCATTTAATTACAATTACAACAACCCAAGTAGCTTTAGGAGGGGCAAATTGCAAGCTCTGGGTAGGCTAAAAACATCAAAAGAACAAAATTTCCATCAATTCTGGAATTCTTCACTTGTTTGTGTTGAAGGCAGAGCTATTATGCGTGGCCCAAGCCGCGGCAATATGTTCTGCTTCATTTCACGGATCAAAAAATCATTCACCGAAGGAAAATGGCAAGAAGTTCTTTTACACTACCAATCACTCCGAAGAGCAGGGGTTGAGCTAACTGACATTTCTGTATTCCCTCCCATTCTTAAAGCCTGCTTAAACCTTTTGCTCTCATTCACTTACGGTCTCTCCTTCCACGCTTTTCTGCTCAAGCATGGTTTCTTCAAGGCATTCACTTCAGTGGGGAATTCTCTTATTGACTTTTACTCTAAATCTGGACACTTGGGTGCTTCAATACGTGTTTTCCAATCCATGACCAACCCAGATTCCGTGTCCTGGAATGTGATCATCCACTCACACCTTCATCAAGGCGTTTACCCCACCGTAGGTGGGGGCCTTTGCGGCACTGGGGTAAATGAAAATGATGAAGATAACTAATACATCCAATTTTCTTATTAGTTTTCACACGTAGAGAAAGTTGACCAATTCATTTACAAATACATCCACTATTTTAAATGATTGATTTATTTAATGCCGGTGACAATCCATATCTATTTTAATACCAACCATATGTTTGTAGCACCTATGGACTTTTAGTGAAAAAGCCGGTAAGTGAATGTTTAGCAGAAACACAAAATGGCTAGAATATGCCAACTATGGTTACTGAGTAAGTCAGTAACTTCTTTTTTACCCTTTTGTTTTAGTTTTTTCAATAGTAGTATACTCTAAATCCTCACTGAAAATACTAAATTGATTTGGACATGAAGAGGTTTATTAGCCATGAGGATAAATTTGAAAACAAAGTTATAGTAAACAAAGTCTATCCCTATTTGCATTCCTCACGCCCAACTCTTTCTCTGTTCCTCATAACCTTTAATTTAACTTAAACACTTGAGTGGCGTTTCTCCCCACATGGCCTCGTGGCCACATCCCCCTCTTAGGCCTCCTCTTTCTCTGTTCCTATTTGCGAGATAATTGACTTCAGCTAATATACTCACTATCTTGATAAGGTTCTCACTTTGTTTTTGCCAGCATACCACAACATCCGATTCCACCAATATAGTCACCGGCCATCTCAACGAATCTCACAGGTTAGTATTCCATCTCAAATCTATGTTTTCATAATTGTCTTCATCATTTCATTTTAGCTTATTCATTATATACATTTTAATTGTCTTCCAAAACTTTCATTATATACAAAAATTCACTCCTCTCCTTGCTCTCGAAGAGCAAGGAGACCAGTACAAGCCACAAGGGCGCTGCAGCCGCTGCTTCAACAGCCAAGCACTGAAGAAGAAAGAAAGTTGATCCAAGAATTTTATTCCTTGCAGTACTCACCTGGACAATTTGTAATCGGTATTTGATTATTTGTATTATCTTCTTGCTCTTAGGAAAACTTGTATCGTTAATTTAAGTTAAGAATGACATTGTTAACATGGTCGAAGCATAATTGAGTTATATTAGAGTAGAGATTGGTATCATGGTATGTAATCTGCCAGTTAATTAGTTAAAGCAATTTATAATGTTTCTTGCATTAATTTCTTTTTATTCCTAATACAACCACTTCTAATGTTTTGTGATACGCTCCAAGTGAGAGCATTAGGAACACAAATTTCAGTTTGAGTTGGCAGAATAATGAGAATAAACTTGTAAAGAGCCCAAATTTTGTTTTTAACACATACAAAGATTTGTCGAGTCTAAACATCAAAATGCAATAATCAGAATAACTAGTTGAGAAAGGACAACAGCCAAAACAGGAATTGCTTAGCATAAAGTTTTCTTAAAGAGAAAAATTTAGTCTTCATCATCCTCAATAATAGTAGTGCCTAAGCCCTTGAGTCCCTCTGGAGCCTCAGCAACAGTAACCAGTGAGTAAAGTTCTTCTTTGGCATCTTCATCGTCGTTCCTCTTCCGTGCAATTCGGACACGGACCCTCCTCGGCACACTTCGGATCCCTTTACTCCAAATTTGCTTGTTTAGTTTCACATCAACCCTAACGTCTGTTGTTCCCATTGCTTTTTGAGCAAACTTCCTTATCTCCTTTATTGCCTTGGGTGCCTTCTTCTTGAAGGTGCTACAAATAATATAACATAACATTGAGATGAGATGAACTGCAACACTCACAGCTAAAACATAGTAAGAAAGGAGAGAGGAATACTATGTTTGTGTACACTATGGGCCTGTTTGCAAAAAGTCACTTAGTTGGAATGGTTGAAATGATGAATGTGCTTACAATACAAAAAGGACAGCAGGTTTCATTAAACCAAATCCAACCAAATAAGTCAGAAGCTAGATGTCCCGAGTCAACATAAAAAGCATATAATGTCTGCCAAACAAAGTTTAAGACTGCAATGAACGCCAATGTAATCTGGCAGATGTAACTTTACCAATGTGGATGGAAAAATGGTGCATGCAACTCCATGAAACTGAAAACACAACTTATGAGAGAGGGAAGACTTAGGCATGAGTGCATGACAATGCAACTGATGCTAAAATACAGGAGGCATACGTCAGACAAACTGCTACATTGTATTGTATCTATAACAATAATAAGCAAGTAGCATTTCATTTGAACTTCTTGGCTCCAAAAGAATAGAGACTACCCAATATACATATGAGTGTTTAAGAACATTACTATAGTCAAGATAATAAAGGATCACCAGCCACATGCACACAATACACATTTTCAAGCTACACGTATCTCTGAAAAATGAAAAACTACTCATTTCAGACTAATGGTGGCTATTCATAATTAAAGGATACGAACTGAAATATAGTAATTCAGCTCTATGCAACAAATGCGGAGAGATTCAAAACTACAATCAAGTATAAAGAGAGTACCATCCATGCAAGCGTTTGTGGAGATTAATGGTGTACTCTCTGGTCACAACTTCATCTTTCCTGGTTGCCCTCGGCTTCCCTGACATTGTTGTAGAGCTCTTCTGATCAGCAGAGTCTGCTTCATTAGATTTTAAATTCAAAATATTTTCAGTAACAATAGGGCACAAGTGTCATAACTCATAAACAATAGTTTGTACAGGTCATACACCTCAGCATAACTCTAACCTTTAATTAATAAGTGAAACAAATTAATAAATGATCAGGGATAATATGTGTCAGGCTGATCCGCGTGACAGAAGAATCCGGGTATTTCTTATATTTCATTTTCTTATGTACGTGAGTAAATTTCATAGGGGTAATAGAAAAAGGAAAGGGGGTATTGTAGGAAAATATTTCAGATTAAAACAAGAAAAGAACATTCTCAATTGTTTTAATAATTTTAGGGGGTGAGAATAAATTCAAAATGGAATCACGAAAATCAACAAGTAAAACAACATTCTGAATTCAGCAAATCCCACCATTTTTTATTGCTTGAACCAGATAAAAAAGAATTAAGCAAATTTATATAAACAAAAAACAAGCAAATAAAAGACGTAACAACTACGTTATACAGGAAATGCTTTCACCAGTTCGGAGAAAATAAACACCCAAGCAAACATGCAATAAGGGAACAACCAAACATTGTTGGTTAAGTTATGAATCAAATAAATGACTGTGGCTTACAAAGATGCCTTTGAATTCACAAGGTTTATATAGAAAGTGAAATAATTTGAACTTACAAAGGAATTTAGATTATTCTTTATGAAAGCTAACCAAACTTAAGAATATGTTTGTGACTTTGTGTATACAAAGTTTTCAAAATGACAGAAAGACATGCATATAAATAAAAACACAAACTGGAATGATACCACAAACACAGAGTGGAAAATTCAATTAAAAATGATTTGTTAATATGGGGATTTTGGAGAACTGTGTTATCCACAAAATGAAATCATCAAATTGGAGTTGAGGAATAATCAAACGCTGTTTTTCAAGTAATGAATCAAATACATTAATATCGAATGAGGTAGATGAAACATTCCTTTGAATGCAGAACCTTTATATAGGTAATGCAATACAAATCGAGCATATGTTTGTGGGTTTGGGTGTGTGTATGTCTGTGTGTATGTCTGCTATATGGATTAGTTATATATCTTTCAAAATTATATATACATATAGTTTAGTGTATAATTTTAAAAATATGATCCGTATATACCTTTTTATAAAGACTTTCACTTGTTACCTTTTTATGCATACCACTATAAATCCCAATCTTATAAGACAAATAATAGGCAAATAACAGTTTCAATCAAATATAAAAGGATTAACTATTGTAGAGAAAAACAACCAAAGGAGATGCAAGCCCCATTTATCTAGCTGTGATGTAAACTTAGACATATATGTGCAGTTTTAAAGATGCGATGTAAATGAAAGAATGATAGCTTTGTCCAAATTTTTTTTAAAACTTTTAACCATTAATAACTCTCATATATTCTCGCATAGCTTTGTCAACGAACGAAGAACTAGACCGAAGCAATGATTTTACAACAAACAAAACATTTCGGGAATGCAGAAAAAATTGGTTTTCAAAACACTTAATCTTCATACAGTCGACAACTAAAACACAAAATCGGAAAATGAAAGAACGGATAGAACGAACCTCGACAACACCCGTAAGCTTGATCTATTCACTGCCGAGACGATATAAAAGCAGTATGTCAGAACAAACGAAACAAGATATATCCGATAAGTAGGGTTAAGTTATTCCAGTTCTTGGGCTTGTGATTTTCAAATTGGACCAGATCAAACACTTCGGGCCAATTACTTTAAAACATTAACTTGACAGCCTATGTGTGCCAGGCCTGGACTCGGGTCGGGCCGGGTCCGGTCCGGGCCTAGGCCCGGTTGGATCATGGAAGTTTGGAAGCAGGCCCGAGCCCGTCCCGTACTGAGGCCGGTGCCGGTTTGGACCGGGTCACCCGCCCGGGTCCTGGGCCGGACCGTCCGCCGGGTCGGGTCTATATATATAGAATTTGGTTCAAATAAAAAGTACTTCATGTGTGAAAAATAAGAACTAATCTTGGCCATTGATGTGAAAAAATGGATGGAAGAGATCAAATTTTAAGGTTGAAACGTGGTGGCATTTTTGTAATTATGAGGAACTTTTATTGAAAATTTTGTAACAAATGTGCATCAGAATAGTCAAAAAGTGCACACGTAGAGCACAAAAGTGCAATTCGGTACAAAATAAAAAGTGCACAAGCTTGAAAATTTTGACAATCTTTTTTGACATGCATGAGTGCACTTTTAATCAGTAACTATCCACTTTATAGTATAAACGTTTTCACATTTTTTGAAATCATCTCTTGTGTTTAAAGTTCATCTAATCCATCCATTTTCAAGTGATGGAAGGCCAAGATTTGTTCTCACTTTTCATGGGAAGACTACTTTTTACTTGAACTCATCCCTATATATATATATATATATATATATATATATATATATATATATATATATATATATATATATATATATCCTTTTCTACTTAACCCCCAACCCCCCCCCCCCCCAACCCCCCAAACCAGCCCAAATTGCCCAAAATACCCAGCCCAACCCGGAAATTTAAAAAAGTTGAAAAAAAAAAGAATATGGCCCGGCCCTGGCGGGCCGGTTCATGCTTTACAGGGCCCGGGCCAGGTAGGCCCGAAACGGTACCCAGATCGGTTCACGGGCCGGGGAGGGTACAAACAGTACCGGGCCAGTTCCGGGTCGGTTGGCCTGGCCCGAGGCTTATATATGTTACTTTATATAAGAAAAAACAGTAACAGTCCAGGCTAGTTCCGGGTTGGTGAGCTTTGAGTTACTTGGAGTCTTGGACAAATACTCTTTCTCATGAGTCTTGGCCGAGATTCGTTACCCAGCTATGTTTGGCAGGCATAAGTCTATGACTTTTATCTTTTGTACTGCTCATAAAGTCTTTAAAAGCTTCTAGTTGTATATTTGGCATGACAATTTTTAAGAGCTTTTCAAAATTAAAAAGATCTTTTATTAGATGCTACAGGGGGTAGCATCTGAGAAAAGTCTGCGACTTTTAGTACTACAAGACAATAATAATAGTTTTTTAATTAGACTAAAGTTTTATAATCAGGTCCGTTTAGGTTTGGTCTGATGACCTAACCTGATCCTATCTGGTAAGTGTCAGATGTATGTATATTTCACTTACCTATTCTAATCTCATCAAGTCTATTGTATTTAAATTTGATCTGATTTGGTGTAGTTTCTTTTAATTTGGTCTGGTCTATCATATCTTATAATTGAAAACATTCAAATCAATATATTGTAAACATTCTGATTTTTTTTTGTGTTGAATGAACTCCCACCGATTGTGTATCACTATTATTATATATTATAATAATATAATAGTGATACTTGACTAAAATATTAAAATGTTTCAATTACTCTAATATTCATGTAACTCTTATTTATTAATGGCTATAAGGCATTAAATTAAATGTCTATTTGGAGGGAAAAGCAAGGTGCTACACCTTGTTACTTTATATTATTATTATTATTATTATTATATTATTATTATTATTATTATACATACATACATATATATATATATATATATATATATATAGAGAGAGAGAGAGAGAGAGAGATTATTATATATAGATAGATTATTTTGAATTGAAAAAATTCCAATTACTCCATTATATATCACTGTGTACTACTACATTATTATTACTAATTGCTAATTATTAATGTAACTCTGATTTTTTAATGGGTATGAAACATTAAATGTCTAAGTGGGGGAAAAGGAAAAGTTCTACACCTTGTTACTTTATATTATTATGAATTATTGATGTAGCTCTGATTTTTAAATGGGTATGAAGCATTAAATGTCTAAGTGGAGAGATAAGCAAAGTGCTACACCTTGTTACTTTATATTATTATAGATATTATTATAGATGTACTACTACTATTATTATTACTAATTGCTAATTATTGATGTATCTCTTATTTCTTAATGGGTATGAAACATTAAATGTCTAAGTGGAGGGAAAAACAATGTGCTACACCTGGTTACTTTGTGTTATTATTATAGATGAATGTTATTATAGATATTATTATAGATGTACTGCATACTATTATTATTACTACTAATTGCTAATTATTAATATAACTCTTATTTCTTAATGGGTATGAAACATTAAATGTCGAAGTGGAGGGAAAAAACAATGTGATATACCTTGTTACTTTATATTATTATTATAGATGAATATTATTATAGATATTATTAAAGATGTACTATTATTATTACTAATTGATACGGAGTAATTATTAATGTAACTCTGATTTTTAATGGGTATGAAGCATTAAATGTCCAAGTGAAGGGAAAAACAAAGTGCTACACCTTGTTACTTTATATTATTATAGATAGATATTATAGATATATTATTTTGAATTGAAAAATTCCAATTACTCGATAATATATTACTGTGTACTACTACATTATTATTACTGGATGGATGGATGGATACTAATCAATAAAATACAATTACTAAGAAAGAAAAATATAGATCCATTATTTTTTCGTTGATCACTTTACATTTTTAGATCTCTTTTAATAAGGATTCAATTGTTTTGAGTGTAAGTGTTTGGATTGAGATTCTTTTTTTTTTACGTTTATGTGGGGCCCTCCAAATTCATTTGGCAGTCCTGACAGTCGAGTACTATGCGGTGTTTGGAATCGGAATTAGTTTTTCATAAGTTGGCCTCTCTAGCTTCTAAAAACTGCTTCTAGAAGCAATTTGGAGCTTTAAGTACTTGTGCACTTTCATCCAAACACTTCATTATTTGCTTCTGCTTCCTGAAGAAGCACGTTTGTTCCAAACACTCTCTATGTGAGCTTTGATATTATATGTTCAATTCCAAACATTTTGGGATATTCGGACGAGTACTCTTAATTAAAACTCACAAAAAATGATTTGAATATGAAAATTGATGTAAGAAATTACATATTACATTAGTGATTGGATGGGCTTAGAATTGTAGATGAAATAAATAGACAATATAGAACAAAAAAAAATATGGAACCCAGGGGCGGCCCTAGAGGGGTGCAACAGGGGCAACCACCCCAGGTCCAAGAAAACAGACAGAAAAATAGGCCCAAAAATAGTTCTTTGTATGTAATTTGAGTAGGCACTGTTTTTGAATTTTAAGCTCAATTAATTGACTCAAGGTTTAATTTTTAAAATAAACGTAAAGTGGCATGCCTCTCTTAATTCTCTTCGAATCTCTAAGTTTTATAATCCTTTTAAATACAAAATTACCAAGTTATGTTAGGCCTCCCAAGTCCAAAGCTTTCAATTCGCAAAGCCCATCCAACTTGATTTGTTGTTTCCAAATTTCAATATCAACAATAGTAAAGAACGCTGCAAAGCGGTGAGTGCATCAGCGGTTTGTTAAAAATTGAAGTGAATCGATCGAGGATCCCAAACGGCGTTCGGTGACAAAATTTTCTATTCTTTTAAGGCTTCAAACAATTCATCTGTGATCAATAAATTGTTTTTGATAAAATTGGTGAATCAGGTTGGGATAAAGAGTGAGAAGATGAAGATTAGAAAAGACAGAGTTATGTTAGAAGGGATCAATAAATTTTTTTATTTTTGTTCAGGAATTGAATCTTGAAAATTTCGTGAGAAATGTTTTTAAGTAATGTTTTTCTTTTTATATGATATTTGTGTTGCTACTTCTCACCAAATATGTAATTTACATAATAATAAAACGATTTTCATTTTTATTTAATGACCTTTATTAAATAAATTTATTATAATTATTATTTTAAATAAATATAATTTATTATTTGTCTTGACTGTAAGCCCAAAATATTATCTCGTTCATAGGCCAGAAAGTAGACAGGACCGGCTCTGACGGAGCCCATATGACTCTCTTATGGAATCATATGAGGTATTGTGGCACCATTATCACCATTCATTTATTTTCAATCGACAACTACAACAAAATATGGGTATGAGGCAAGCCACGCCGCTTCTGAAGTTCAATTGTGTAGACAACTGCTAAAGAATAAAGAAAATTTTAAATAATTTTCATGTCGTATGAAATTCAAACATAAATTTGTGTGCACTACCTCCCCTAACATTGTCGAGTGCCTTATTTTTTCCAGAGATCTTGGATTAAACCAACAAGCTTTATCTTGAACACCCGACTAATTATTTTCGTTCAATCTTCTGCTTTTCAGATTTTTTGGATGGGTAAAACGACCAATCTCTGGCCATCTTAGATTATAGGTAAATGGGAGGAGTAGTTCTGATAAGATCTAATGGCAAAATTGCACACGCCGGAATTCCTAAACGACATTAAATTATCTGGTGTACCGAATCACAAGTTAAGATTAAAGGCCGGGACTTCGGTGATGCTTTTGCGAAATATAGATCATTCAATGGGGTTATGTTATGGAACATGATTCATTCTAACCAGGCTTGGTGATCATGTTTTGGAGGGAAATATTTTAACTGGTGTCAGTGCGGGACAGAGAGTATTAATCCCAAGATTGTCCATGACCTCCTCGAATGTTAGCTTGCCTTTGAAATTAAAAGGCGACAATATCCATTTATGACTTCATATGCTATGAGTCTATGACCATAAATAAAAGTCAAGAACAATCATTGTCCCGTGTAGGGTTGTCGAATCAATTTTACCCTTGGACAACTCTATGTTGCGGTGTCTAGGGAGAATAACCGGTGTGGCTTGAAAATACTAATTTGCGATGAAGACAAGAGAATCACTAACACGACTCAAAATGTTATTTGCAAAGAAGTGTTCAATAATGTTTAGTGCAACATTTAATTCATTTTGACACATATGGGGGGGGGGATTTAGTTGAATGTGTTTGAGCTTTTGAGTCATTTTAGTATTACATCCATCCCAATGGACTTCACACTCTTTGAATTAGGTGAAAAATAAGAAAAGTAAGAATTGTGTGGTTGAAATTTGTGTAGATGAGAGAAAAATGAGCAGAACTATAAATTAGTTGCTTTAGTGAAAAAATGACAAAAAAATGGGACAACAAAAAAAGGAAAATTGTCAAAGTCTAATGGAATGGAGAGAGTAGTATATTTCAATGTATCTTTACAATCTTATAAAGGTGAACGAAGGTAAGGGCAGTTTGGGCATGGAAAATGTGTTGGTAGTAATCATAAGCTAATGTAAACTTGTATTTTGAGCTAAAATTATTGTACCTTAGTTTGTCAAACACATTAATACCGGAAGGAACATCAAACTCCGTTAGTTGAAACCGTCAATTACTACCTCTATTTTTGCTAGAATGCTACTACCTCTATTTTTGCTCCCAATGCTTAACAAGGAGTACTTCGTATTTCTTAATTAGTTTTTTCTTTTTCTTTTATGCTTTAACAAATACTATCATTACTATGTATACTATATTACTATGTAATAAGCTATTAGATTTATGAGTATGGATGTCTTTTTTCCTTTCTTTCTCAAGCAAAAAATTGAAATAGTAGAACTGTCAACACGATTTTTTAATAAACTTAGACCCCGTTCGATACCACTTGAAAGTTGCATTGGCTTAATTAGCTGAGTATACATAATTGATGAAATGATAACTGAAGCGGTTGAATTATGTGAAAATGATAACTTCGTATTTCTTAATTAGTTTTTTCTTTTTCTTTTATGCTTTAACAAATACTATCATTACTATGTATACTATATTACTATGTAATAAGCTATTAGATTTATGAGTATGGATGTCTTTTTTCCTTTCTTTCTCAAGCAAAAAATAGAAATAGTAGAACTGTCAACACGATTTTTTAATAAACTTAGACCCCGTTCGATACCACTTGAAAGTTGCATTGGCTTAATTAGCTGAGTATACAAAATTGATGAAATGATAACTGAAGCGGTTGAATTATGTGAAAATGTTGAATTGTAGAAAAAAATATACTACGTATAAAATACTCTCTTCGTCCCATTTAAAAGTTCTCCTGACAAAATGACACGATTATAAAGACAATAATTAAATGTGCTAATTTGAGTATATTTTTAGAAATAATTGTAATGAGTATGTAATACAATGAGTTATTGATGATTAAATTATCATTTAAATTGCTTCCTAAAAAAGAAAAGTGAGAAACTTTAAATGGGACAGAGGGAGTATTTTATTAATAGATTTGAGAAAAAATTACTCCGTATATAGAAAAGGAAGGGTATACTTCTTACTTTTATCATTTGCAACTACATTTTCATAGTTCTATAATTTTTTGGGGGTGGGATATCTTTTTAAATCTATTATAGTATACGCTCATGATAATGTCAACATCTTTGATAAGGATGAGACTCAAACTTGCGATCACCTCGTTGGGAAATCAACAATAATGCAATTAGACCATGAAATACTTGGCCGGCCTATAGTCGCTTCTATCTTAGTATATATGCTCCAATTTTCTTCATAAGCATGAGTGCTTTACCCATATCAAAACATCAAATAAATGATATTTGTCAATAGGGCCACTTATTTAATACTTTCATATTAATGTACATGATTAGTACAACTGAATTTTGTGAGAATAATGAGCAAATAAAAAATGATTATGCCCAACTAAATTTGCATGTGATTGATATGTCTATGCTTTATATTGCAATATAAAGGTTACATAAACCGAGTTCAGACAATGCCTATCTTTCATTATCATCTTCATTGAGCCATTTGTAAAATTATATCCAAAGTAGGTATTATTTGCTTGGTTCATTGAAGATAATTTGTATTATTTAAAGTTATATGCGGATAATTAACGCATTATAAAAATATTTACTTTGTATATTAGTGAATCTTATATTTTCCTCGATATTTATTTACAGTACTTTTCATTCCTATCTCGTAAATTATCATGTCAAGGTCTTATATTAGATCGAATGTGAATCATCTATATAAATACTTACTAGATGTTTGTCATTGTGTTAATGTGCACATTTTCAAAATCAAAATCATTGGGCATTTTATACATTCGCGCATCGCGCGTGTAGAAAACTAGTTAGATTACAAGTGTGTATTATATTGTGTATTATGTTGTTATCAATTATCCAAAGTGATCGTTTTTTAAATATCAATGTAGCAAAGAACAACATCTTGCTGCAGAATGTTTTTGTAATACAATGTTATCATGATAAAATACTTGATAAATATTCACGGATTGTGTTCACTAATTTCATAAGTCGGGCTTGGTAAAAGCAAAATTGAAACAATTGAAATAAGCATATGGGGCAAACTGCAACAATAATAAGCAAGTGCCATTTCACTTGAATTTCTTGGCTCTAGAAGGTTAGAGACCGGGGAGGATCTATGGACTTTGTATGCTGAAGTCCAGGGCAACTGAGATTTTATATACTTTTTTTAGTGTAGTTTTTTTCATTTTTCACATTTAGCCCGCCCCTCTAATATTTAAGTCTAGTATAATTTCTATTCAGTTCAGGGCATCTCAGAATCCTGGATCTGCCCCTGGTTAGAGACTACCAATATCCGTATCATTGTTTAAGAACATTACTATATTCAAAATTATAGATTGATACCTCTACACTTCAGAAAATAGGCAATTCAAGATAATAAAGGATCACCAGAAACCGAAAACCGAATCGAAAAATCCAAACCGCAACCAAAACAACCGAACCGCAAGAAAACCGAAACCGAACTCAAAAAACCGAACCGAGCCGTAGTTGTTTGGTTCCGGTTTTGGTTTTCACATCTCAAAACCGAATCGAACCGAAAAAATGAACTTTTTAAAAGATGTTGTTTTATTTATTAATCATTATGTATAATATTTTTTTTAGTTCTTAATTCTTAATTCTAGAAAATTAATGTTTGATACTAGAATTATTATGATTTGCAAGATATTGACATTTAATATTTATTGTTTAATTAAGTGAAACACTTGTACATAAACTTAAGTCTATTACTATAATACTAATATGTTACTATTTTAAATTGTAATTTACATTTTTCTTGTTGTGGCATGACAATGATACTTTGCTGATATATTATATGTTATGTATGTTTGTTATCACATAATTTTTTATATTGAAAAAATATGTATTAATATAAACTATACTTTAAACAACATAGCAGAAAATGTGAAACTTTAGAGCATAAATATATTTGGCTAAAAAAGTAGATTAAGTTATTTACTAATAAAATTTTAACTTGTGAATACTCTGCATATAATTCACAAATAAACTCATGCGTTTAATTAATTTAGAAAATGTTTAAATTGGCATACACATACTCTCTAATTCATTGCTTGCAAGTGCATTTGTTTCTTCTATCTTTTTTAATTATGTATGTTTTTGTATTGTATTGTATTACTATAAATACTAGTTTGGTGTAGTTTATTTTTTGTTTTGTTTTTCAATTACTATTTTTCTAATCAACAAAAATACTTTGGTAAAAACCGAACCGAAATAAACCGAACCGACAAACCGTGGTTCCAGATTTTTGAACATAAAACCGAACCGAACCAAACTTTTTACTTTGGTTCGGTATTTGGTTTTAGGTGAAAACTGAACCGTTTAAACCGAACTCACCCCTACACAATACGTCATCAATACACAATTGTCAAGCTACTCGTAACTATGAAAAACGGAAAAGTACTAATTTTAGACTAATGATGGATAATCATAATACAAGGATACATGCCGAATTCTAGTAATGTAGTTCTATGCAACAAATACGGAGAGATATTCAAAGAGAAGTGGTCCTTTTTTACAAAGTTAGTTCTATGAAAACATCATCGGTCGTCAAAACTTGATAAAGTCCCACACCGAAAAAATTAAGAAGCATTCGAGTGTTATATTAAGCTCCAGGCTACTCGTGATCAATGATGTTTTCAACTTGAACTGGTGTTTTTTACTAAGCTAATATGGGAGTATGATGTAGACTTGTTTGAATTATTTCGGTCTACAAAAGAGAAGTACACAAATTTACTTGACTAAAAAACTAACTCAAAATGGAAATCAGACCAATTAATTGTGTTCCTATTTTAGCTCAAACCGAACTTGATTGAACCGGTTCTAATCTGCAATTGAAAATTGGAGTCACTTCTTTTCTTGCCCGGTTCTGATTTCTGAAAGAGGATTGGGAGAGTTTGGCAGGAAAGGTCATCAACCAATGAAGTTCGCTTCAGTCTTTTCCAACGTATCCAAAAAACTACCCTACCAAGTTTGTGGGAAAAAATGGAATGGAAAAAATCACTCAACTATAGGCATGGACGGGCCCCGGTTCGAGCCGGGTCTGGCCGGGAATGGAAAAAATCACTCAAAAATCTGATTTTTTTTCCAAACAAGAGAAAGAATGAAAGTTTCTGGTTCATCATATGATATAATACTCGGCAATATATAAGCACTGCCATGAATGTAAAGCTAAGCTAGGGGCGTGAACCAAGTGATGATTGTCCTTTTCTCTTCCAATTACTACATAAATATGAGCATGCATACCTTTATTAACACTTCATATATAATAATTGATTTCTTCCTGTGGTTAGGGGGATCTGCAGTCAACCCACTCTCGTGGGAGGTAAGGCTCAAAATCCTGATTGATGCAGCTCGAGGTCTGGCATTCCTCCATACATCAGAGAACAAAGTGATTTATAGAGATTTCATGGCCTCAAACATTTTACTTGATGGCGTAAGTTTGTTTATTACATTCTGTACAATTGATAATATAACTTTTTTTAATTCTATCCAACTTTTGTTCACTACTTTTTTTTATTACTTTTTTCAGTACTTTTCTAATTTAAATTTCATTTAAGTATTTACTTTTCAACTTTAGCTTTGATCTATACTTTCACCTTTTAATTTTTTATATGACCTATGTGTTTTTACCTTTTTAAGGAATTAAAATAGTACTCCGTATATGATCAATTTAACTTCTATATTTTCTTAAAAGTTATGCTCAATACAAATGTATATTACTTGGTGGGAGGAAGTACTACAACTTTCCTAGCTCGGATATGTATTAATGTATAAATATGTCCTTCCCCTCTTGTGTTGATTTCTTTGTCTTCATTTTTCTTCTCTGATCCAACACAGTCATATAACGCAAAGATATCAGACTTCGGCTTAGCAAAGTTTGGACCTTCAGCCAGCCAATCACATGTCACCACTCGAGTTATGGGAACACCCGGATATGCTGCCCCTGAGTATGTTGCAACAGGTATATATGTTTGCATATGAATTAACTGAGCTGAGGAGCGGTGGTATACATAATTCTATCAAATACACTTTTTTACAAAAATAGATATTTCCATAATATTACTCTAAAATCACACACACAAAATATGACAACTATATGATCAATATAGTTACTGGATTACTGCAAAAATATCATCACACTGTAAAGTGAAATAGAACATCAGATTAGCACTACATTTACTTGTTAATTAATAGCATTGGATGGGCGTGCAGGTCAATTGTATGTAAAAAGCGACGTGTGTGGTTTTGGTGTGGTTGTGGTGGAGATGCTAACAGGATTACGGGTCGTAGACCTGAACCGTCCAAATGGACAACAAACTCTTGTTGAATGGATTAAGCCACATCTTGCAGAGAGAAAGAAGCTAAAGGATAAAATGGATTCTCGGTTGGCGGGAAGGTATCCTTCCAGAGCTGCTGTACAGATTGCCCAACTTGCTTTGTCATGTCTAGGATCTGAGCCTAAGATGAGGCCTTCTATGAAAGAAGTAGTGGCAACATTGGAACAAATTGAGTCTGTAGATGAGAGACCAGGACCAACAAGGAAGACAACTAATAATTCTAGAAACACTAAATCTTATAGACACGGTGGCAGTGACCACCGACCTTTGCGTCACTCTCCTCCCCCTCTTCACCCACCTCGGAAAGATCCAATCCACAGTCGGACATAATTGAATACTGATGTTCTGTACATGCCATTGGTTTTTTCCTTCATTCTAATAATGTATATAGTAGCGCTAAAATTCTGTGCATGTGTATCATATGTAAGAGAATTTCATGTGGTTCATATACGGACTATGAATCCAAGAATGTAGCCATTACATGATTTTGGGTAAAAGATTATGTGAAAGTTTCTTTCTAACAGCATACCCCAATATTCTCTTCTAGCTACACCGCTGTTTTCAACATAGATAAGATTAAAACTTTGACGATGATAGTTGCTACACTAGAATAGCAAAATGTTGTTTTGCCAGTTGCCACTATGACGATGATAGTTCACGTTCTTGCCAACATGGAGACATTGCATATATAGACAACATGAACTAAGGGGAGGGTTCAAATACAAGAGACCTTCTGATGCAAAGTGAGAACAAATCTTGCGCATTCAATTCAAGATCTAATGGCTCAAAATAAGCTGACAATGCATTAGATTTGATTTAAAAAAACGCGGTAACAATTTGTAAATAAATCAAAGTTTTTTGACACTGTGAAAGTGCAACAGAAACATGGAATACCATTGCATTGAGTGAAAAGTGCAATCGTTTGCACTTTGCACCGGAAACTTTTTATTTGAATTCTCCCCACATGAACTAAACTTCTTCTATCTATGGAAATTACCCTACTAAAAAATTTGTATATTCCAAAATAGGATTATCATATTTTTATTTTCTAAATAAGAGCAATATTGTTTTGTTTTGGTAGAACGAGACTTTAAATTAACAAAATAGAGTGCAGAACTCTCTGCTTAATTTCTAAAATTTAAGAGAATAAGTGTGGTTCAACAATTTTCCATTCAATCTATTCCTTGTTAATCTTTGGTAACGTTCAATGCAGTAAGGGAGGTAAGCACAAGAATGTGCTTCAACATGCCACACCTATAACTAATTGATTAGGGACATAGTTTTAAGGATCTCATTTAATTACAATCACAATTCACAATAAGAGTAATTATGCGTGGACAGTGGACTATCATGTTTTGTCCGTGGATATATTTTCAGACAAAAAAAAAATAGACGCACATACAAGTGCAAAAACGCGTGAACTTTGAAAACGTGCACATTTTTTTTGTTACAACAAGTAGCTATACACCTATACGCAGGGCGAGAGCTAAACGCCTCGCATGGCTCTAATGCGCGAAAAAAGGCGGCCAGCCCATTAAAAATTATTTTAACTTCACATGGGCTGTAGCAAAGGAAGCCCATGTACAGCAGATTAGACTCGATCTATGCCCAGCTGCTGTTCTGAATGCAATGACCGTTTTATTATATAGAAACATAGAGAGAAGAGTCATCCATGATTTTCCGGCGTGGGATAACTCTGTGAAGCGAAATTCCAACCCACAAGACAACATCAGTTTTTTTTCGAACGGAGGGACAACACCAGCTATGCTAAGTTGCTCACATTGACAATAACCAGTGGCGTATCCACTATGGGGGCAGCGGGGGCAGCTGCCCCCACTGAACCCCAACCCAACCCCTATATATATCTAAAATTTTATAAGAAATTGCTCAAAATAAGAGTTAAATGTAGAAAAAATATTCTAAAATAGGATTAAGAGGCTAGTGTTTTCTTTCATATTAAAAGAATGAAAGACTAAAAAATCCACTAATTTTTTTTATGTTTAACTTATACTCATTTAGGTAATTTTCTCAAACTTTATCTGCAGCTACATCTTTACACGCCCGTAATATAAATTAATATTCTTTTCGTTCATACTTGTATATATATATATATATATATATATCTTAAACTAAATTTAATCAAACAATATTAATAATGTGATTTGGTATTTGTAAATATGAGACTAAATTGTAATGCAAATTTGCCCCCACTCGCCAAATTTTCTGGATACGCCACTGACAATAACTATGATTTTTAACATCATTATTATTGTTATTGTTGGTGCTATTACACCATTAGTATTATTAAAAATAATTACAAATACGATAGTATATAAATACAACAAAAATAGTGGACAATAATGTGATACTATCATAATAGTAACTTTAGTAATTATAATTTTATTGAAATTTTACATACATCATAAGATGTTTTACTTGGACTGCAATCTGTCTCAAACCAGACCATACCAGATCAGACCAGACTTGGATAGTTATAAAAATACAAAGATTCTAGACCTGATCAGATCAGACCAGATCAAACCTGCAAATTATAGTCCAAATAATAACATTCATAGTAATCATAAAACTTACACATAGTAACTAGTAAGTTATAATAACATTTCTATACATAAATTTTTATATTAGTAATATTTTAGGAAGAACTTGTTATTAGTATTGTTCTTGTTACTACAACTATTATTATTACAATTATTGTTTGTAAACCATTGTTTTATCATGAAACTATCCTACTAATTATATTATTGCTATTGTATAGTAGGTTATGTATGGTTTTAAGAACTGAGAAGCTTAATTGTTTGAATATATTATGTAAAAGTGTGCATCATATTTGCCAATATTACATTACATGTTTACTAACCACTCTATGAAAATTAAAAATTTAGTAAGAAACTAAAACGCCTTTTGACACCTTTACCATGCCTTTGAGAACACTGCCTATACTGGGGCAAAGTACAAGCTCTGGCCTCTGGGTAGGCTAAAAAGTAGAACAAAGTTTCCACCAAGTACCAACTGGTTTACGAAATGCTTGGAACCAAACACTGGTCACTGGGGCTGTTGGCTGGAATTCTTCACTTGTTTGTGTTGTAGCAGAGCTATTATGCGTGGCCCAAGCCGCGGGAATGTGTTCTGCTTCATTTCACGGATAAAAAGTTCATTCACCCAAGGAAAATGGCAAGAAGTTCTTTTACACTACCAATCACTCCGGAGGGCAGGGGTTGAACTAACTGACATTTCTGTGTTCCCTCCCATTCTTAAAGCCTGCTCAAACCTGTCGCTCTCATTCACTTATGGTCTCTCCTTCCACGCTTTTCTGCTCAAGCATGGTTTCTTCAAGGCATTCACTTCAGTGGGGAATTCCCTTATTGACTTTTACGCTAAATCTGGAAACTTGGGTGCTTCAATACTTGTTTTCCACTCCATGACCAACCCAGATTCCGTGTCCTGGAATGTGATCATCCACTCACACCTTCATCAATGCGTTTTTCCTCAGGAAGGGTTGAGATTGTTTGATCAGGCACGTGTTGCTGGATTTCAACCCAATGTCTCTACATTGGTGCTTGTGATTCAGGCTTGTAGAAATCTTGCGTCTTTTCATACTGGACAAAAGATTCATGGTTACTTAATTCACAGTGGGTTCTGGACTGTACTTTCCGTGCAGAACTCTCTGCTTAGTTTCTATGCAGAGTTGGAAATGGAACTTGCATGGGACCTGTTTGATGAAATGAGTGACAGAGATATTATTTCTTGGAGTGTGATCATTGGTGGTCTTGTTGGGAGTAAAGATGCTATCCTTGGTCTGGAACTGTTCAAGGAGATGATATCTGATTGGGGGATAAGAGTAGATGACCTAATAGTTGTGAGTGTGCTTAAGGGATGCAGCCGTTTACAGGACATTAAAATGGGAACAATGGTCCATGGTCTTGTGACATCCACAGGTTTGGGCCAAGATTTGTTTGTTGGGAACTCTCTGGTTGACATGTATTCAAAATGTAACCACATGGATTCAGCCGTTCAAGTGTTCAGTGAAATCCCTATCAAGAATACAGTTTCCTGGAACTCACTGTTGTTTGGACTTGTCCGAAATGGCAATCATGCTGAAGCTCTTCTTTTGTTTGGTTCCATGGGCAATTCAGGAGCAGAAGCTGATGAGGTAACGTTAGTGAATCTGCTTCAGTTATGCAAACATTTTGACGAACCTCATCCATGCAAATTAATACACTCAAGAATATTCCGGCTAGGTTATGAATGGAATGAGCTGGTTATGAATTCTGTACTTGATGCTTACACCAAGTATGGCCTCATCGCACTTGCTTGGAGACAGTTTAACAACATGGAAAGAAGAGATGTGGTGACCTGGAGCACCATGATTGCAGCCTTCACCAACCAAGGCATGCCCAATGAAGCAATTGCTGTTTTTTCAGAGATGTGCAGGAAATCAGTAAAGCCCAATGCTATTACCATGATAAATCTTCTTGAGGCTTGCTCACTTTTTGCTGATCTAAGAAGATCAATGTGGGCTCATGCTGTTGCTATTAGAAGATTCCTGGCCTCTGAAGTCACAGTTGGGACCACAATATTAGATATGTACTCAAAATGTGGAGCAATAGAAGATTCTAGAAAAGTATTTGAACGGATACATTGCAGGAATGTCGTATCCTGGAGTGCTATGATCGCAGCATTTGGAATGAATGGACTTCCAAATGATGCTCTGGACTGCCTTGATGAGATGAAATTGAATGGGCTGAAACCCAACACAGTAACCATTCTTTCTGTGCTATCAGCATGCAGTCATGGAGGGCTGATTGAGAAGGGGATCTCTCTCTTTAAAGAGGCAGCAATTGATCTTGAAGGTGAACTGGAGGTAGAACACTACTCATGCCTTATTGATTTACTGGCTAGATCCGGAAAAATCGACAGTGCAAGAGATTTAATAGAGAGACTACCTCATGGTGGAAAAAATCAGTGTAAAACTGCATGGGATGCAATCTTAAGTGGCTGTAGAATTCACGAGAACAATGAGATCGGATTTGGTATGCTTCCTCAGGTCCTTAAATTAGAAGCATCAAACTCATCTGTATATTTGCTCGCTTCAAGCATGTATGCTTCTAGTGATTTGTGGACTGATGCCACCAGAATGAGATGGTTAATGAATGATAGAGAAGGCATGAGTACTGGAGGTGCTTACAGTTTAGTACATATAAATGGCATGGCATGCAAGTTTTATGCTGGCAATAACCGTACTTGTTTGTCAGACGACCTGTGCCTTGCTATTGAGCGACTACACTCATGTATAAAAGTTGATTGCATGGGATGCTGCTATTTCAAGTAGAAAATGATGGAAACAGAAATCCTACTTTGGTCTTAAACTTTTCGCTTCATTTTCTCATTGAGATTCGACAGCTAGACATACTTACGTGTATATAAACTCCGTATTTTGCTGAGGTGGATCAGATGGGAGATGTTGCTACTCTTAAGTTGCTTCTTATTCGTGAGATATGTAC